CTTGTCATCTGAATCCCAAAAGTATGGTCCAAGAACAGTATTTCAGATAGGGCTTCAATCTGCTGCACATGAGGTGGCTGTGAGTTGGAACCAACTTGATGGCACCTCATAACAAGGACAGTATGAACAGGATGTATCCACTTGTGTAGAAAAGGAACATCACACACACATCGACACAGAATATCACCAGAAAACCACGTAAGAAGCTAGTCACCATGACTAACTCTTGATTTGGGGAACTAGGAACCAGAAACAGGAACAAGAAAAGTATAGTATAATAAATGTTCATTATAAACAATTCAAGCTAAAGGCAAGATACTATAGTACATAGTATAGTATAATCTTCCCTTTCGTTTGAATTGTTTACAATGAACATTTATTATTAAAAACAACAACATATTAGTAAATAATAGAAGTCCTTCCAAAGGGCAGGCCCATCTTATTGGGGAGTCTTTCTGGCCTGTCCAGCCCTACATGCAATTTGCTACCAACACCATGAGTGTCATACAGCCTCGGCAAGTGAGGTGCTGTATTGGCAAATTAGGAGGGGAACCAAGGGAGGTGGGGCTTCACTCCACCAGAGGCAAGGTTGCTGCTTAGAGCAGGCGGGATCCATCCAGGGAGGGTCTGCTGGGCATAAAGGCAGGGGTGGGGGGTGGGGGGAGACACGCAGGTGTCTTGGGAAAGCCAGGTGTCAGAAGGCAGGGGTGGGACTGCAGAGGACCTGTGGCGGGGAGTGGGGTGCGGGGATCCAAGGGGGCAGAAGGCCTTGGATGCCAGGCTGAGAGTGGAGGCATTTTCCTGAGGCACCAGGGCGCCACGGAAGAGACAGGGCTGCGTCTCTGTGTGAGAAAGACCCCCATGGCCCTTCTCCAGTGACTGGAGGAGGCGAGGGGTGTCCTGGCTGACTGGCAGTTGGGGAGTGGGCGCCACGGCACTGCCTCTGCTCCCACTCACTGTGTTCTCCCTCCCTCTGCCCCTGCCAGGGTGACACCTCTGGAGACTTCATGAAGGCCTTACTAGCTCTCTGTGGCGGCGAAGACTAACACTTCCACTTGGGTGGCACCTCTGCCAGCAACTCCTCTGCCAGCAACTCCTGCCACCGTGACCAAGGCTGATTGCTCAAGTTCTGGAAGGGGCGGGGTTAGGGGAGGGGGCCGGGGGTGGGCTCTCTTCTCTTCAACTGGGACTTCAGAAAGGCTCCCCCCATCCCACTCCCACCCCCGGGGCCTCAAAGGCCCATCGCAGTTGGTCACTTCTGCTGGGTGTTGTGTCTGGGTGGCCAAAGATCTGTAGCCCCGATGCTGTCCACCTCTGCGCCCTGTCTGCCTCCTGGGCCTTTCCCCAGATCCCACCCCTCACCACAAGTCTCCCCTGGTTCTGTCAAATCCCCAAACAGTACTGAGCCTTTCTGTGTAACACGAGTCATGCCTGCGCTTTGAAGGGTGGACTGGGCCAGTGGAGCTGAGGACCAGTCGGGCGGGGCGGGGTAAAGGCCTCTGGACAAAGGGACACCGCCCCCCTCACCCCACTCCCATCTCACAGTCCACACTCAGCCAGGTTGGGCTGGGGGGCAGAGGGCGGCCAGACAAGAACTCCCAGGGTTCCCATTGCATCTGTTGCTCACTCCTCACCCTTGGGCGTGGGATTCAGCTCCACAGTCAAGGCTGTGGGTAATTGCCCAGACATCGAGGCCCAGGGGCAATTCCCAAGCCGGGGGTGAAATACGAATGTACTTCCACCCGCTTTAAATAGTCACGAGGCTTGCAGGCCTCCAGCAGGCCCATTTGTAATAGGACAGGCAGTATCTTAACCTTGGACGACCTGAGCGCTCTAGGGAAACACCTTCTCAGTATCAGAGGGCTTCTTGGGAAGGACAAAATGACCTGATTGCTCTTAATGATAGGCCTTCTTGCCTGCCAGAGACATCTTTATCTTGGCATTTTAGGGAAGGCTGTTGTGGAGATGTTGTTCGGGTTTATCTCATCTCGGAACTGTGGAAGTCTTTCACCAGGGCCGGTCTTCCACGCCCTGTGGTTAGAGAGCGTGTAGAGGTTGGGCTGCACACACTCCCTTCCAGGTCCTCAGTTTCCCACCCTTGGGGAGTGCCCCGCCCTCCGTTTTATTTCTTGCCTATACAATGAGTGTGGCGGAGGAAAGCACTTGACATTCCCGGCCTTCTGGCACTGGCATTCTAGGAGATGCTGTCTGTACACTTCGCTCGAACAAACGAGACAGGCGGACTGGAGCACAGTTCCAATGGGGTCCTGGCTCGTACCCGCACCCTGCAGCTTGGTTCCCCTCCATGGCAGTGTGAGGTGGTTACATCTGCCCAGAAGTGAGTTGTAGCTTCACACTCCTCCCAGGTGTTTCCTGGGAAGGCTGAGCACTGGCTGAGCTTGCAACAAGCCCTAGAAGAGCCCGCACACCCCACCCCACCCCCATCTCTCGCTCTCCCTCAGTTGCTGGACATTTCTATGTGCCTTTTATCCATTACAGCCAAACTCAAACTTCCTCTTTCCAACTCTTCAAGGGCACCAGATACAATCTCCCTGTGGGGAGGTCTCTGGCAAGGTTCCCTGTCATGAAGGTCGCTGATAAGCGAGTGGCTTAACTGCAGTTTCTCTGTCTTCCCTTCCCACCACTCTGCTTCTGGCCTGTGCTGTTGGCCTGATACTGTCCAGTGACCCTGAGAACGCAGGCACTTGCTGGCTGCGGGGCTCAGCTTCCCTTCGGGCTGAGCAGGCCAGTGTGTCTCTGCTGAGTGTGAGTCTGTTGCTTTGAGGGGGAAAGAAGCCTCCATCTCCAAGTGGCTTGTGTAGAGACCCGTTCATGAAGTCATAGGAGAGGCCAAGATGAAACGGAATCACCCGCACGAGGCCCGGAAGGTGTCCCAGTATTCACAACCACACTACTACGCTGAACTACAAAGCACAGAAAACAAATGAGATTCGCCACGGCACCAACCCACTCATGCCTGCAGACCCAGTGGCAGGTGGGACCCCTCACACAAAAACCCCACCGTCAGCAAGTCAATCCTGACTCTTCCTGACTGCAGAATGGAGTAGAAGTGCCCCTGTGAGTTCAGGAGGCTGTGCATCTTCACTGCAGCAGAAAGCCCCATCTTTCTCTGGAGACGTGGCTGGTGGGTTTGAAGTTACTGACCGTGAGGTTAGCAGTGCAATGCATAATCCACCTGGGCTTCACGGCTCCTTAGGTGGGACTACACAAGCAGTGAAGGGACAATGATGGGGTAGGTACACCACTGTAGACTAGAGAAGTTGACAAGATTGGTTCAGCTCCCTCCAACCAAGGCAGTCAGGATTTGACTCCTGACTGTTGCAACCTTAGCCTTGATTTCCGTCAGGAGCACCCTCCGGTAAATCCCTGCGGGCAACACTATTAGTCTGGGGACTGGTTATAGGAGTGATCGAATCCACTTTCAAACACCGTCTCAGGACAGCGCTTGTTACATTGTCTGCCAATGGTCAGAACTCCAAGGGGGGCTGACATTATGTGGAGACTCACAAGGGATTAGGGGTTCCCACTGTTAACTAGCCTTCTGCAAACCGTGTGCTCAGAATTTAAATGAATACATGTAGCCGGGCAGAGAACACGGCCCTGGTACCTGAGAGATCGTTAGTCTGATCTTGTCCCCCACCTCACCATGATGTGGGGAGACCCCTTGCCCTTGATGGGTCTACTCGCTGCCATCGAGTCAAGCCCAACTCACGGGGACTGTATAGGACAGGGAATAACTCCCCTGCGGGTTTCTGGGAGCAGAAAGCCTCGTCTTTCTCACGAGGAGCAGTTGGTGGTTTGGACCTGCTGACCTAGCAGTTTGCAACCCAATGATTAACCAGTATGCCACCAGGGCTCCTGGTGGGCCTACGTTTCCCCATTTGTACCTTGAGGGGTCGGACCCAACGACTGTGAAAAGCCCTCTCTTAATCTCGGATATAACAAGTCTGAAGCTAGGACAATGTGCCCTGTTATGTCTTTCCCACTTCCTTCTCTCCTGCAGGCTGTGAGCCGGAGCCCAAGCCCTGTGAGGGTCAGCTGAGCACTCTTTTGGAAGCTTGCCCAATTTAATTGAGCCCCTGACCAGAAGAGAAGTTAACAAAATGAGAAAGGGCTGGAGACCTGGCTCGCGCCACTGATGGTTGGGCCACAACCATGCTAACCTTTCAAAGGCTCCATTTCTTTTCCGGAGAGTGGGCTTTGTAAGTGTGAGAGGATGTGGGTACGGGCTCAACACGCTGCCTGACCGAGACCCAGGAGGCGCTTCCCAAGATGATTTCTCAAGGTTCTCTTCAAGGAGCCCGGGGCTGCCGAAAATGAAGGTGCCTGTGATATCTAGTCCAGAAAGCGGCTCATGGATATTGAGCCGGCGAAAGTGCTGGGTTGGGCGGGGGCTTGTTGGAGTGAAGGGAGACGCACAAGCACACTATAAATGAGGAAAGCTGAAGCTGAGTGCTTACAAAGTCCAAGATGCTGCCTTTGTGCCGTCCAGTGCATGTTCTGCTTCGTTTTTCTGGGATAGGCTAATAAGAGGACGCTCCTAAAGCTTTAGAGGGAGGTAAGATCATGAGATTGATGTCATAGTGGGTTACAGGTTGAGTTGCCAGCCTGCAAGTTCAGCAGTTCAAACCCACCAGCTGCTCCTCTGGAGACTGATGAAGCTTTCTACTCCCATAAACATAGACAGCCTCAGCGGCAGTTCTACTCTGTCCTACAGGGGTGGCTATAAGTCAAAACTCCATGGAGGTGGGTGAAATCTCAAGATGGTAGAGTTGGCATTGGATGACTGAAGACGCGGAGTGTCAGGATTTTCTCTTCAACCCAGGGCAACCCTTTGCAGGTTCTTGAGGAAGAGAGGCATGCACATAGTGATGTGTTCCGGGGAGGTGGGAACCTTCGCCACCATCTAAGGTGCAGCCTGCAGGACAAACCATACATTCTCAGACGTGTGGTGGAGGAAGCAGTAGGCAGCACTCTGCATCCAGGCACCGGCTGCCCTCATTCACACGTGCAGCTTATTGATACCGAAGCCTCCTGTGCCCATGCTGTCTGCCCGGTGCCAAAGGACACACTAATACACAGCTTTTACAAAATGACAAGGCAGACCTTCTGGGGCCCAATTGTTTAAGGATCATCCACAGGAGTGTCCCTCTTGCCCAGCTCTCTCCTAAGGACCTTGTGAAATGACACGAGGGAGAGAAGCCTGTCAGCCACATGGCGTGACATCGTGGCTGCGACCGGGGCTGGGGTTGTGAAGATGGCGCAGGCCCCGCGGTGTGTCACCGTTGGGCATACATTCGCTAGGGGCTGGGGGGCTCTGTGACTTCTGCGGCCTGAGTTTGACAGGGAGAAGTGACAGGAGCACTGTTAAAGCTAAAAGGAAAGAGAAAGCAGAAGCCCAAACCACCTCCAGCTCAAACTGGGAGAAAAGGAGACGCTGTGACCCGAGTCTGGGAGGGGCCCTCAGACACTCTCTCCCTCCTGTGATTACAGACCAGACGACTGGCACTTCTACACAGGAAGCAAGTGCCCGGGTCAAGGTGAGCGGCAGAGATGAGCGGGAGCCGGGGAGTCTTAGGCTCTCCTAAGCACCCTGTGCTGTCTCCCACATCGGCTTGCAGTTCCCTCTCCCTCGAGGCCAGACGTGGACCCCAGAGTCATTCTCTAGCTCCTCACTGCTTCCCCTCCTGAAGCAAGCCACATATTTCCCCTGCAGGCAGGTCTGGGACTGCCATGAACCACGCCACAGGAAATACCCAAAGGGAGTGGCTGCGTGGAAGAGGGGTTACCCTTTGACGCAGAAAGCAGATAATCGGGAAACGAGGTGGAGGGTCGTGCAGGAGCTTGGGGCTTTCAAAAAAGCCCTGGCAAGCACTGTGTGTCCAGCTTTGAGGGTGGCGAGTAAGCCCACCCGAGAGGGCCCTTGCTTTGAAATTGTGTACGGATGATGGAAAGGGGACTGTAGGTGGAAGACAGAGTCAACAGATGGTGGATGAACAGAGCAGCAGTGGTCCTAGAGATTAGCCAAACCAACCTACTTGCTGGTGTCTAGGCCTGCGCTGTGGTCTCCCTGGGCCTCAGGAAGCCTCCCCACGTGCATCTCTCCAGGATCCAGGTAGCTCTTTCCACCAGAGAGTTGGATTGGGACCTATGTATTAGCAAGTGCTGAATTTGGAGCCAGACCTGGGTCCTCCGATTGATTCCAGCCAGGCCCATCGTCTCTACTGATACTTCCTCCCCTACTTCATGGGGGAAGCCAGGCTGAGCTAAGAATGGAAGGGAGGAGTGTCAAGTTGCCCAACCCAAATGTCAGATTTTCGGAACCTATTAACGGTAAGTCGGCCCTGGGACTTGCCTCTCTCTATGCCCACACGCCTGAGGTTTCCCGGGAGACTCCCCCACTTGACGGTCACAGTTGGGCAGGTGGGAAATTCTGGTTACATAACCAAGCCTTCTTGCAGTGATGAGACCTATGGAGTCAGACAGATCTGGATCCTAATCCCAGTTCCCCTCCCCCTCCTTAGAAGTCCCTTGACTTTTCTCTGCCTCAGTGTCCTCAACTGTGAGGGGGACATGGCAGTGGTTTCTCTCCTGGGGCTGTGGAGGAGATTAAATCAGAGACTGCAGGTAAAGCTCTGAGCACACTGTGCAGAACATCGTGAGGGCCCAACACGAATCAACTCTTCATTATTAAAAACGGGCTCGCCTTTCACTTTGTGGAGGAGAAAACGGAGCTGAGAGGGGGCTCTCTTTCGATAGCCTTTGATAGCTACTGAGTCATGGAACTCCTTTCCTTCAGAAAATGAAGTCAGGGGAGAAGGTCATGCAACAACAACAACAACAACCCGGCACCCAGCAGCAAGGAGTGAGGAAAAACAGAGACCTCGGCTAACCATGGTAAAGAAGACAAGAAAGAGGACGTTTGTGAGGCACCTCAAAAGAGGGATAGAAAGACTTTCAACAGTAAAATCTACCGAAAACCCAACCCCCAAACCCACTGAGTTCATTGCAACTCACAGATTGCAACCCTGTAAGGGCAGAGTAGAAACTGCCCCGAGGCGATGATAAATCCTTGCAGCAACAGACTGCCTGCACATCTTTTTCCCAAAGAAGGGCTGGTGGGTTCAAACCACCGAGCAGCAGAGCACTTTAACCACCCCCACTGTGCGTCCTGAGCTATTGAAAGAGGGAGGGCTGTCGGCAGGGCAGGGCAGGGAAGCAGCTTGAGCCAAGGCTCAGAGGTGGGAAAGCTGAGGCCATAGGCGCAGTCCCAGGCCCTTGAGCACCCCAGCAGGGAGAGAGAAGGCCAGCGGCTGGTCACGTAGAGCACTAGGGTGTCGTCCTCATGCTCTAGGCACTGCTGAGCTCCTGCCCGTGTTTGGGGCGGGCAGCAGCATGATTAGAGGGACCCTACAGGAAGGTGACCAAGGACCAGCCGCTGGGAGACTGGCTGTCAGACTTGTAGGTACTCTCAAGGTGCGGAGGGGTGAGGATGTGAGCCAGGGCAAATGAAGCAGAGGGGGAGGAAAGGGAAGATTTGAGGAGCAAGCAGCCAAGGAAAGGGGCCCTGACCTGCTCAGGATGGGGGAGGTGCATGTGAAGGCAGGGGTCTAGAAGGAGGAGGCATCCTTCCCTGGGCACCACAATGGAGAAAGTGCTTTTCCAGGCAGGACTTGAGGCCAAGGCTCTAGGGCAGGGCCTCATCTCAGCTAGGTAAGGTGTGATAAAGTCTTAAGCCAGAGCCATATGGGCATGAGCTTAGAGTTCTAGAAGTTTCCAGAATATGTATTTCCTTCTGTGGGATGGTCCGTCCTTATCGCCCTAACCATCACCATCGGATACCTCCCCCCTGCCTACTATGCTGCCAGTTGCAGTTAGCATGCCCCTTCCACTCACCCCACACCTCCAGCTACCCCATCAGGGCAGTCATGTGCCAAAGCTGGAGACAGCAATGGGCAGGTGGGAAGGCCAGGGGAGTTGGGAGTAACACGGCGACCCTCAGACAATGCTAGGCTGGCCGTTTCCAATCCCATTCCCCACACACCCAGCACCCACACACAGTCCATAAACACTGCTTGTGACACACACCCCCACCTTCAAACCACTGCTCGTTACACTCAGGAGCACACGGCACGCAGGTGCAAACTCAAACACACATCCCGGGTAACACACAGAGAAACGCACACGGCTAGCCACGTAGAGAAAAATAAAGTCATTAGACCCACAAAGACACTGGTGTTCATAGACACAATAGTGGCCAAGCAGAAAATCTCTCACACGAGTGCCCAGACCAGCTCTTGGCGCACACTGGACGCGTCTTCGTGTGGGTTCTTCAGCAGGAGACACACGTGGGCCCTACAGAGAGGGCCGGCTCTGGGCTTAACTGCTTGAGGGGGACAAGACCAGCTCCCCAGGAAACCAGACAAGATGCGATCAAACCTGGGAGAACCGCTTCCTGGCGGTGAGGATCAAGGTGAGGGGAAGTTAAAGAAACAAGAGGGGGAGAGAGAGAGAACCCCCTTCAAAAGCCACCAACCTAGTTCTATTGCTTTGTCTAGCTGCTAGCAGTGAAGGGATTAACCATACCAGCTGCTTTGCCCTTTCCCGTTGGGTCCTAGGAAACCAGATGGGTGGGATTTGCCCAAGGTGAGTCAGGGCCACTACCTCACTGCTGCCTTTTGGCTGCCCCCCTGAGTGAGATGGAAACCCGAAATGAAACTGCCAGACTTCCCGGCTCCAGCAGCAGCAGCACCATCA